AATGAGGCAAGCGGAACGTGGACGGGACAGCACCTTATTGGCTGGGGGCTGCCCAGCTTGAGCGGGCGGTAGCTGTCCAATGAAGTGCGAAGACTTCTCCCACCGTCGAGAGGAAGCCCCAAGTACCCCACTCCTACGTCCATCTAGCGAGGGATTTTTGACCAGTAAACTGCCCCTCACCGTGTTTTTTTTACTGGAGCGACCGCTCCAGGGGCGGGTGTGGATAGAAGAAAGAAGCCAGGAGGTGCCCAAGCAGCTGGCTTGTAAGACTGAGCTTCGTCTGGCCTCTACTCGTTGACCTTTCAGGCATGATTGGATCTACGGCTGTGAAAAACCATCCTGTGTAGCTCGCAGGGTCATGGAGGCACGCAAGCCATCACACCGCGTCAAGGTGCAATCTCGTCGTGATGGGTCGTCACCCAGAATTGTTGGTAAACCAATTCATTATTGACCAGCTTATTAACTGGTATATGCTAACGGGGTGTGCTTCGGGTCGAGCTCTGGAGCGTAGACCTTCAGTTCCGGTTACTGAACTACAGGGCCCCTGTCGAGCACGAGCTTGAAACATTCTGCACTAATGCGCGTACGTGTATCCTGAAGATGCAACGCACGGCGCGACAGCAACAACACAAATGAGAAGGTACAAAGACAAAAAAGGTAATGCGTCTGTGTCTGAGATGAAGGAATAGTACTAAATACCTTTGGGTTTGGTACTTCCTTAAAAGTAATCGGAAATGGACTGATTGCAACAAATGAAAGATTGAATTGTGCCACTTGGTCTTGGGAATCTTGTAACATTGCAATCCAGTACACGTGGAAGAAAAACCGTCTAACAGAAAGCATTAATGTAACAGTGGTATTTCAACAATAAACAGCGGAACAGTGTGGGAAAAGTTGAGCAAGATAATCAGGACGGGGAACAGAAAACAAATAAATGACCTACAACTCCCTACTGGCAAGACATACCGGCACAATTTATGCAGCAAGTGGTTTCGACTAAGTTGGCCGCATCGAATTCTTCGCAGCATGCCAACTAACGATTCGGCTGGGGCAGTGGGATTGAATTCGTTGGACTGAGTATCTACAGTCACCGTCCAAGTGAACAGAGATCTGAGTGAGAGAGAGAAAGGTATTTGGAGTCAGTACTCGTCGAAACCCAGATTCTGGGTTACTATAAGCGAGGGGATTTTTTCGAAAAACGCCAAGAGTTATTTTGTGCAAATGTAATAGGCAATAATCAAACAAGTTATCCTTACCTCCGAATCAAGCTTCAGTCTAAATAAATAACAAACGGACGACCAACCGCGATGGAAATGTTTGTGATAACCGACAACAGACATTGTACGGCTGTTTCGTCCTGTTTGGTCATCACCTTGTACTAATAGCTCAATCAATTATAAAGAATCAAGTTTAGATTAGCTAACTGGATTGTTCAGAGGCAGCAGGAACTCTTGCCGGTCTTGGATGTGGGTTTCATTCCTTGGGAGATAGTTAATTCCTTACGAGATAAATGCGTTCAAACGGAAACCGCCGACCGTGTAGCTCAGGAGTAAGGGTTTGAAGTCCCGACCCAACTATTCGTAGTTCGAATCATGACAGGGACACAAAAAGTACGCACTGCTGACGGTCCGAAACAAGACGAAACAGCTGTCCAGTGTTCCTTGTCGGTTATCACAAACAATTCCATCGCATTTGAATATATTACCTCGCGGGGAATTAACGATCTCCCAGAGAGTGAAATCCACACCTAAGGCCATCAAGAGTGCATGGTGCCTCTGAACAGTCCAATGGGCTAATCCAAGCTTGATACTCTAAAAAAGGACGACCAACCAACCAACTTCGAATATTAGCACCATAACTGTTGTAAACTATGGCGTGACCACAAACGTTTGGTGATGGATCACTTGGTTTAGTTCATCTCAATACTGCAATAATCCTTCTGGGCCTTATGTGATGTGCAAATCCAAGTTCCAGGACTTGGTTGCCGGGTTCTCCTGACGGTTGCGTTCACTCCGGTTTATTTTCGTTACCTCGTTGGCACTATGGTTTTTGCGAAACCGTCAGATGGAGGCTGCTCGGAGGGGGGGGGCAGATCATTTTTGAGGTGGAACCACATTGCTGGAGACAGGGTGAAACTAATACGCACTTGAGCCATTGTAAATGATTGGCGTGAAGTTTGATCCATTTGTACTTTCACTCACTCAGCCGAGTTGTAACCTTTCAGTGGTTGTCTAATTAGCCGTATATATTAAAGGGCGCTTGGGTCTATCTATCAGATGAAGCGATCCGGGTGGCTGTTCTCACGAAAAATTTCTTAGTACGTTCAATCTCCACTGCTACGACGTTGAGAGAAAAATTTTCTGAGCTCGTGTAGATAGGCATCGAACCGGATTTCTTCATTGTTCCATAGGTACGAAGCTGTTAGAGCTCACATAATGTGCCATCCTACATGATGTTTTACATTCTATTCTCCATTTGGGTTTGCGTGTAGCACAGCACATAGGAATGAAATTCAGTCATGATTCTCCCGCTTGATGGTAAATTCGATTGAACTGTGGCTTGGACTGAATGTCTCTAGCACAGTCTCAATGTCAGCTATGTGGTCGGTTCCAAAAAATACATCGTTCACCTTTCGACAATACATGTTGAAGTTCTGGATGGTACCTCATTGTATAATATGCTAAAGGTCATAGTAACCAGAAAACCCAGATTGACTGCAGTAAACACTCTGATGAGCTATTGACTAATTAATAGAAAGAATGAACTTCCGAGTTGGATTGCGTTACTTATTTTCTAATCTTGAGTTAACTTTTGAGATACGACAAGTGTAAGCTCCGAAACCGAGGCCGCGTCAAGTTAAATGATGATACAGGAGAACTAAGACAAAGGATTGAATTAGGAATAAATACTCTTCAGATGCTCAAAAACGATACTGGAAACTAAATATTTCTGCATAAAGAATCACGCCTTTCGAGTTCGATCAACGGAGTGCAGATAAAACTATCTGCGCTCACCTAGGACGTTGATGAGATTTTTCTAACATTTAGGCGACTAGTTTACTACTCAATAGATAAACATGATCATGTGCTATAACCAGATTATGTCACATAAATCCGTACTAGTTTGCACCTTACCCTCCTACTCCACTTCACATTGCAGGGTGAAGTGATTCACCCGCCCTCAGTCACACTGTACTAGCCCCGCACACATGTAAGATTTAGATTATACTAACCGAAGTCTGGCGTAATTTAGCTTCGCCTAAAAAACGAGCCAGCGATAAGGAGGATTCCGAACAACACAAGAAACAATAGCAACAGCACATTAACTGCTGATGGTCGGGATTGCACAACGATTCATAGGCGGACGGCGAAAACTGGATAGGACAAATAAGTTGCAAGGAAGTAGGCGAAAAAGTTGCATATGATTGGCATTCAGTCAGAAAGGTTAAGCTACTAGGGATTATGAATGAACCCCAAAAGAAATTCAAGTAGAACTCCTGGACAAGATTCGCGTGAGACAATTAACGTTTGGTATGTGGTTGAAATCTTTGAGGGAGACCATAGGACTATCCAAAAACTTGTCAAAATTCATGAGCTGGATGGGTGTGTGCCCGATTGTTTTTTTATCACACACTTTCGTGTGATGAATAGCAGACGGGGAAAGCCCCATAGTCACGAAGACCTGCTGTTCATTGGTTTTAGCCGGCAAACTAAGCCCCGGGACCACATAAGGCGCCGTTAGGTAAAGTGTGGTGTTGAACCGGACGACGGCACAGCTGCCTATCACCAAAGTTGGGTGGCGGTGGCGGGACTTGAACCTCGGACCATAGGGTCCAAAGCACGCCTGTGACAGGGACTAAACCACTGCGCCACCACCACCAACAAAACCCGAAAACATGCGGATTGGAATGAAAGCACAAAGCCCACACACAGAGACTCGTACTACCTAGCTTCTAATTACCTTGAAACGGGATGCAAATGCACGTTTTCCTCCCACAAGACGTGCATGCACTTTTCAGTTCAAATGAGAGATTAGTCTACACATACGGTGCAATGAATAGTTGACAAGAATGTCTTGGAGTCTCAGAAGGGACGGAGAATATCACACCAACCGTTGCTTGATGATATTAGGTTAACAACAAAAAACCCATGGATTATTAAATACTAAAACACGCACAGAAAAGCAAAAAAAGAAATGATCTGCGGTAGTAATATGAACAAGAACGATGTTTGGGGTACCATTTGAACAGTTGTTCAATGAATATAGAAACCGGTGTAAAGAGTTTGTATCCATACAGATCATTAGCAATTTTAAGAAAAAAATGAACCACGATCACGACAAACACAGGAAAAGAAACGGTGAGAGAACCGCCAGAAGTATGAGAAGTTAAAAAAATTATTCGGGGCATTTCGAAAGAACTGAGAAAAGTCTGGAATACAAAAATGCGGTTTCCCAAAGGGTAGTATCAAGAAAATTATAAATGGAACCATGAACTTCGGTCTATTTCACATGAAAAAAACATGCATACGCAACTAAAAATTTTCCTACCGTCTTTCATTCACCTCGCTGTAACGTCCTCTAGCCGAATCCAGCACGGACAAATCAGAACAGTGTTCATACCAAAATGAGATACCGTGACAGATAAAACACGGATTCACGTCAGATGCAATGTGTAGGTTCCGATGTGATGGTATGACGCTTCTCCACCCAAACGGGGGGAATTAAAGGGTATGAAACATGTTGTTATCATCTAAGGGTGATGGAAATGTTTGTGATAACCGACAAACATTTCCACCGCATTTGAATGCATTCAAATAGTGGGGAATTAAGGATCTCCCAAGGAGTGAAAACCACACGGAACATCATCAACAGTGCCTGGTGCCTATGAAAAACCGAATTGGATAAGCCAAACATTCACCATGTAAAATACTGTCATCATATATTTTTATAGTCTTGTATTCAAACTAATACGCCCTCTGATCGAATAAAAAAATGATTAGAATGACAACGAACGACTGCGCTGTTTATTTTGAAACGTAAACATCATCTCACTACTGTTCACGACTTTCCTTTCTTCTTGCATCTATACCGCGGATCAGGATTGTTTTCCACACTCAATGAACGAGGAAAGAACGGGTGGCTGTTATAAAACGGACCATATTAATTTATGCCCAGATAGAACTCATTCGCATAGCCTACCTACCCAAAGTGGGTTGGATGAACTTTAATGCACGGCACTTGTGTGAAACACAATGTACAGAGATAATTTGGTTGAAGGTAGCTTTGATGATGAAAACCAGGCAACAGTATCTATGGGATTGAGTTTTCACGTCTTCTGTGAATCGAAGTGCTTCACAAACTCGATTTTGATTAAAAAAAGCCGTAAAATAGAGAG